GAGGGATCCACGAATTCTCCTGGAAATCGAAGTGTCGTTCCATAAACGAGTTGAGCCGCAGTGTATCCAATGTCAGCTTTCACTGGATTGCGGATACCCAGTAAGACGAGTGGAAGAGCGTCGGTCCACTGTGAAACGCTTGAAGCTGATAGTGAAGCTTTTAGTTGTCGGTAAAAACGTTTTACCAACCCGTTTGTTTGTGGACGGCAGGCAGTCGTTCGGAAGCGAGTGATTCCTAAAAGTGTGGTCAGACGACGGAAAAGATCGGATTCAAACTGACGTCCGCGGTCTGTAGTGATGGTTGAAGGGCGACCGAAGTTTGCTACCCATCGTTCGAAAAAGGCGCGGATCACTGTTTCAGCAGTGATGTCCTTGATAGGTACTGCTTCTGACCATCAAGTCAAACGGTCAACGTGGGTTAAGAGATAAGAGTATTCATTTGAATCTGGTAAAGGTTCTACCAAATCCAGATGAACATGGTCGAAACGAGCGTCGAGAGTTTTAAACGAGCCTAAGGGACATTTATTGTGTCTGATAACCTTAGATTTTTGGCAGCTCACACAGGAGCGTGCCCACTCCCTCACGTCTTTATTCATACCAGGCCAGCAAAACCGTTCTGCTATAAGCTTGATGGTTGCAGGAACACCTGGATGAGAAAGTTTGTGCAATGCGATTCTCTGTCCGGAATTGCTATTAGACAGTCGTCAACATACGCATGTACGAATTTGAGACCTCGAAAAACGTCGTCTATGAATCTTTGGAATGTTTGTGCAGCGTTTCTTAGACTGAAAGGCATTCGCAAAAATTCATAGAGTCCGATGGGAGTTATGACAGCTGTTTTCGGTATGTCATCAGTAGCCATAGGGATTTGGTTATACGCTTTAATAAAGTCGACTTTCGAAAAGACAGTTGTACTTTTCAAGGTAGCTGTCAAATCATGAATGTGAGGCAACGGGTAACGATCGGGAATGGTTTACGCATTCAATCGCTGATAGTCACCAGTTGGATGCTAGTCGTTGCTGTCCTTTTTAGGAACCATGTGCAACGGAGATGCCCATGGGCTGTTTGACGGTCTTATAATACCTAAGTCTATCATGTGGTCGAATTCGTTTTTGGCCGACCTTAGCTTTTCGGGAGCTGGTCGGTGTGCTTTTGAGAATCCATGTGGTCCTGTAGTAGTGACGTGATGCGTAACGTTGCTGGTTACACACGGCAATTTCGGTTGCGTTTGGTGTATCCCAGAATACTTATCGAGTAGTGGTTGATAGAATGGGTCTATCGTGTTCTTAATCGTGACTGTAGATAATCTGCAACCAGAAAAAGAAGTTACGCAAACAGGCAAATTATTTGGTTATTAATATTATTTGGTTATTTTATTCATTTACTTATTTTCATACATTTTATACTCCCCCCCTTATTACCTAATTCTTAAACTAAATTTCACTCACACATTTTCACCACCTAATCCTCTTAAATTATCTTGACTTTTCAAATTCTATTCAATTATTATTACGTAATCTAACTTGTCATTATTTAATTCCATTATTTATCACACAATTCATGAACTTCACTAAACTATAACGCCACCCAACCTGAATTAACCCCCCTCTTCGACCTCTGACCTGTTTCTAGCATATATATAGGTATTATTGTAATCCAGCTATTTACACTCATTTATGTCGATTGTTTTCACACTATCTTCATGTAAAAAAATTCTATCACAATTTTGGTTTGTAAGCAGCTGACGAGAAACCTCGAAATAATATGAATTAATACTATTCTGCATCAATGTTTGTTCTTGCTGTATTTAGATAAATTGATGTTACCGTCTACTAGCCTCCGTTTGCGCGTATCGATGAGTAGCATTATGCTGTTGTAGAAGGTCTATACCAATGACTGCAATAGAAAAATCTGCAACAACGAAGATCCAGTGAATGAGTTCGCGTAAACCCACGTTAAGGTAAACGTACCTTTTACCGTATGTGCCGATAGGCTTTCCGTTTGCCGCCTGTAAGTTTAAAGCCGATTCGTGAAGCCGGTCATTAGAATTCGCTGGGAGAACGCTAACTTCTGCGCCAGTGTCGACGATGTAGGGAACTCTCGTTGTCACATCTGTGACGTATAACAGACGGCTATGTTCGCCGGCTACGATTGCCGTTAACATGTGCCGGTTTGGAAGTTTCTCGAGTTGTTTATCGTGTCGGTCGTTTTTGAGTTGAGAAAATTGCAAAACTTTCTGCAATTTCTGGAAGACTTTCCATATTGGTTACGATACCAGCACCAGTCGGGGTTACCTGTCTCTCGTGATCTAGAGACAGATCGCTTACGTGAAGTGCTTCTTAGAGGGATGTGTGACCGTTTACGGTCGTTACGAAATTTAAGATAACGTGTAGGTGTATGTTATAACTCTGTTATATCATTCTGGGTTGTTTGAGGCTTTTCTCTGAATGAAAAAACTCGGTGTTGTTTTGAAACGATACCAGCACAGCTTGCATCTGTTGAGGAAGTTTTAATAAGTTCGTTCACTCCGTGCTCGTAGAAGTTGGCTTCGGCGTGGCGAAACCAGGCTTCCACGTTGTCTGGCTAGAAGGGCATCAGTTGGAACGAAGGTGGGGATATAGTCTTAAGGTTAAGCACTTTGGGTGTCTGTTCAGTCATGATGAAATATGAAGTAAGAGAATGCACAAGGCAAAAGAATATATATATCCAAAAACACGAAAAAATATCACAATGTATAAAAAGTTAAGATAAGGCAATGATATATATAATCCCAAAAAGGAACAGATTCTTAGTTTGCGATTTGGTGTTCCAGACCACGTTAGGCTTACCAAGGAAGATGCCACAGGTATTCGGAGTTTGACAACGCTTTAACCAGTAACACCTTCTATTATGAATAGTACACACCAAGTGAAATCAAAAGACGGAAGCGAGGAGGTTCGAAGATATATTTGATAGGCTATCAATATATCGAGAATCGTCTGAACTAATCTGACTAACGGTTGCAGTAGATGTTGAGCACGGCTTTCTCACTCGTGATCTGGTGCGGATGCATGACCGAGCGCCTTCAGTTATGTGAGTCCATTAAAACTAATGTGGTCAGTATTCAATGTCGAAAACTTACAGGGCTATTTAGTTGGGGAATTATTTACCGCTACGCTGTAATTGTATTTCATCAACATGTTGGTTGTGTACTTAAATCACTAATATCTAGAATTCGTACCCTAGATTGTCCGAAATTCTTCACTACAATCCCTATGGCTGGCCGAACATCATTTCCACAATAATATGTAACTTCATCAGACTCCAAAGACCTCATAATCGAACGAAGAATTCTTCCTTTTAGTGGCTTTAATGGAGTCTCTTTCGTCGCAGAATGTTTAGCGTTTCCATAATGCAGTAGAGAAGTATCTATTTGAAGTTATGAAACAAACTTCAGGCCACTTCGACAAATAATCAATGACTACATGTGCATAGTATTTGCCAAGAAATGGACCACAATAGTCTGCATGAATTCTCTGTCAGGTCTAAGACGATACTGGCAGTGGAGTCCACTTCGGTGACTGATTCTCCAACTTATGACATTTTTCACAATTGCTCGCTGTACGATATATCTGCATTTATCTATGGCCACCAACATGTGAGCATTGCCAAGTACATAATTTTCTCAACACCTAACTGCCCGCTATAAAGATCACCGACGATAGATTTACGCAATGAAGGAGGAATAACAAAACGATCATTTAAGCACAAAATACCATCAGTAGTAATGGATAACTCATCCCGCATTGGAAAACAGACAGAAAATCTACGTTTCAGATTAGCATTCCATTTCCGTATAGCACTGAGTATACATCCAAAGTATCTACGAGTTCCCCCAATCAGATCTGGACGTCTCACCGGTAAAGGCTGCACTGACGAACAGTCTGAAGTAATAAAACGTCTATGTTATAATGATTGTCGAGAAAGTTAGTCAACGTGTTGAATTTGTTTAGCACTTCTGTGCTGAACCGTATAGTCGAAGACACTCATAACAATGCTCTATCGTCGAACCATAACAGCTGAGGAATGTGCTAAAGATTTTTCAAGATGACAGGTGAATTTTAGAACAGTCTTGATCTGTGTTCGCTAGAGTACTGAAGTGTCTGAATAACACCGCAAGTCACGCTTAAAGCTGTTCAAGAGCTACTGTTATTCCGAAGCCCAAATAATAAAAGGAGGTTTGAAATTTGGTTTAGCAACCTCAACCAGTAGCAGCCAAAATTGCTAGAATAGCGCTAACCTGAAAAGTCGTCTTAGCTATTTAAACTATGTTTCAGGAGTTTACACTAGAAGACTTGCCTCATCCCAAATTAAAGGCAAAATTCCTTGGAAATCGTGAGGCCAGTATTCCTTTTGACCGCCAGAGCAACAATTAACATGGTTTTGTGTAATGTCCAAACAATGTAGGAGGCCAAAACGACCAGTCGAGTGATACTGTGGTTGAGCAGATACAACCTGACGGTAATCGGGATACGTGAAACACTTTCGACACATTAGCTCGTTTCAAACATCTTGTATATTGAGTCGGGGTGAATGGCGTTTGAGCTCACTGTGGTATTCTGCCGCGCAGTTTCGAATTTTTTGTTTCACAGCTGTACAAATGGCATTAAAACGTATATCTAAAGTAAGAACGTGTTCAGTGTTTTGTGCAGCAGAATTGTTTTATTAAGGAGTTACAGGACTTAAGCGTAGATCCTCCAACTCAGTGTTCAGCTGGTCCTTGTGAAGATGATCGTAAGTCAATGTATGTTGTATTAGTTTACATTTAGTATTTGTCTGGCAAGCCACTATTATGGGACCTGTACGTCTGTCTATTCTGTAATAATGTACTTGTAGGCCGACAGTCCATATGAAGGTGGAGTCTTTTCCTTGAAAATACTATTTCCCACAGACTACCCTTTCAAACCCCCTAAAGTAAGCGTTGTATCATTGTCAAGCCAACTTTGTGACAGATCAGTTTCATGACGAAAATATATCATCCGAATATAAATCCCAATGGTAGTATCTGCTTAGATATCCTCCGTGGACAATGGTCACCAGCCCTCACAATATCGAAAGGTATACATTCGTATATAAATACTCAATTTGTGTTTAAATTAGTTCTACTCTCAATTTGCTCACTATTGACGGACCCCAATCCAGATGATCCTCTATGCCCAGATGTCGCACGTCAGTACAAAACAGATCGTAAGAAATATGATGAGTTAGCTCGAGTGTGGACACAGAAATATGCTATGGATCCTTGATGCGGCACTACACAAAACATTTCGATAAACATATTTTCTCCTTCCTTCTTGTACTCATTGATGGCGTACGTGTTACATTTAATGTCGATCGATTTTTTTCATCTCTCGATTAACCTTACTTTCTTATTCTATTCTTACTGGTTTGTCAGTTGTGCGTTTGTGAAAATGCTCTTAAGGTTGTCACGATTATTTCTTCTTTTTTCGAACTAGACTCGTGCCGTGTTTAGTGACAGTTGGCGGTACAGGTTGGTTCACTCAGACGTTTTCATTTGTTTAAATATTTAATTGTATCAATTCACTTTACGAGAAATTCATTACTTGAGCAATTGCTGCTCGTGATACTCATCATCTAATCTTCTCAGAATTTAGTAATCTGTTTATATTTGACCAAAGCTATTAAAACTTGTGTTTATTCAATAGATTGACTTAAGGAAAAGTCTGATTTCATGTTGGGAAGAAGATTGCATCAATGCGAGTATCAGATTTTATGGCAGTCTAATCTTGTTTTTCAGTAGTCTGTTTACTCGTGTTAAGGCGTGTATTTTCGTTAACATAATACGCTTATTAGTTTGTATGAGGTTTTTAGTGACGATCCTAAGCATAGTTCTCTAGTTACTTTATATAACTACTGTTTCCAACTAATGTCCCTGCATGACTATCGTATTCTGACAAAATTAATGCGGTTCATTATCTCATGTTGACTGCCATAAAACGGCCATTACTACTGTAAACTAATGCATCGTAGCAAGTCGAATAATAACTGAATCCTTTCATGGTTAGCAATTCTACTTCAGTAGACTAAATATTATAGCTTTGAGATACCCATCAGCTCTGTTGAGCCTTAATAGAAATAGTTTAGCATAATCTAGTTAAGGGTATTGTTACCGGAAAACCTTATCGAGATCTACTTTGGTACTTCTGATATGTTTTGTTGTTAGCATCGGTTCAAAATAGTGTAGTTGCAAGTGGATTTTTGAAATCTTGCACCCATCTTCTCACCTGTTTTATAAACATAAACAACTACTTTCCTCATTTGACAGTATTTTGTCGTAGTTGTATATTTTGTGGATAGTACTGTCGACCAATACAGTCCGTAATTTTTGTTGCTGTGTAGTTACAACATCGTTTTTCACTCTTCAATGTAGTTATTTCTACTCAATACACAATTGGACCTGATACTTATGGTAATGTAAGCAATGTGTAACAGTCTTCCGAGTTGATGCACACCATTTGAGATGTGATTTCTAAGCTCGAATCTTTTGTTTGTTGAGATCAGAATCCACAAGTTCAAATTTTACTCGGTGATCTGCATATCTAAAACTAATTATCATCATGTTGTCTATGTATAGCTTTAATGGTCTTGCTTAACAAGTTAATTCAGGACAGGCTTTGGTCTTCTGATAATTATCTTGCCCATTTCTTCACGCGAACTCGTGGTACTTTCGTTTCTGAAGTAAGCATAGATAGAACTTCCAGTACACTTGAAATTACGTTAATGAATATTGTTGGTTATTAATAATATATTTATGGACAAGAGAACCATGTAGTGTGCATTTTCGAGCCTTACCAAGTCCTGTCATACTGCTAATAGTTAGATTTTAAGGATCTGACGATGCTATAGTGCGAGTTGGATGTCAGCACGAATGGAAGAACTTATTGTGGGTAGTGAGAACGGTAACGACACATTTATGTTTAGGAAATAATTCTGTCTTAGCATGAGGTCGTTTGTACTTTCCGAATTGAAATATATATTTTATGCAACTCAAGGAAGTTTGTTTTGTTTATACTTTTTCGAAATCCATAGATTATAAGCTTCTGTCATGCGGTAATTCATCCACGAAAATAGCCGTTATTTTAAAGATTTCGCCGTCATTAGAGTACGACCACCCATAAGTCATGTGTCTGGAGGAAGTAATTTCCTCGAAAATCTGTAACCTAGGCGTGCCCTCTACTCCCTAAGATCGTTTTCTAACTATAAACTGTGCAGAGGAATATGCTCGTCCTTTGCTTAGCAGACGGTTTTCTCGCCTACGCGAATGCTAACCAACTTTTCTGAATCCTTGACATGATTGTCATATAACAACCGACCATGGTTCATGAGACTCCTGAGATTAGTAATGTATGTATGTTTCATTTATGCATATTTGACCGGAATAATAGCTTTATAGTGAAGAGGTTTTCAGCAATATAATTAGAATGAGTAAATTTATGGTACCTCAAAGTAACGGTAATTTTGTCACTGAAGTAAGTGGTGTATTTCCAAATTATATTGTTGGTGCACCGAAAAGTGTGGTGGGATGATTCTACCACATCCTGACACTTGTTAAAGCCTCTTCGTCCGAATCTGAATGCACAGTGTTTTAGATTCGAACAAAACAGTCAGTCTATTTTCCGAACTTTAGTAGCGTAAAGTAAGAAGACAATTTGATCCGACAATGAATATTATTTATTTGCCCAATACACTCTGAATAACAATCTGATCATATTTATTTACAATTGATTGATCACCGGGTAGTGATCAGTGCTATGTGAGTCAAGTCTTTCTTAGTAGTCCTGGTTAAATGTGGTCACTAGTGTAAGTGGTTCGGCATCGCGTGCATTATGTTAAAACAGGATGGTGTTTAGCGTTGGCTATCAGGAGACGTTAGACCTAGGTTTTGTGATGCATGATACTCTTCAACAAGGTGTAACTTTAATGTTGAAGAAAGTCACCGGCAGTTCGAATAACGTGGTGCTAACGTCCTTGATTGTGAGTTGTAACTCGAGATCGAATGTGTTGAGGAGCATCAGTCCCTTCTATATTACAGGCACACTTTTCGAGGTGAGTATTTATCGTCTCTCGCTTTAGTGCATTGTTCAGTGTTTTGTGGTCCGCAAAAATAGTGCATCACTTTTGACAGATGTTCGTATGCCTAACATAACTAACGATAGGAATTCTGTCGACTGACTGGAGTTCGAGTTCAATAAAAAGGCAACCTTTAGTTGACGGTGGAAACGTTCTACCATTCCATTAGCCTAAGGGTGATATACAGTAACACCTATTCTATTGGAGCCTGGAAGTTTAGCTAAGTTGTTAAGTAGTTCGGATTCAAATTGTGCTCCTCCATCCGCCGTTATTGTCATAGGTGTACCAAAGATGGTCACTCAGTTTTGCATGAAGGCCTTAGCCACTGTTTCAACTGTGATGTCCATTATGATATGGCTATAGGGAGTCTTGTTAATCGATATATACATGTAAACAGATAATTAAAACCGTTCAAAGGTGGTGAAGGGCCTACCAAATCAATATGCACATAGGCGAAACGTGCATCTCGCTATGATAAAACGCCGATGGATGGATTGTAACGGTTAACTTTGGACTGTTGACATACCAAACACTAACCCATTTGTGTACATCCTTCTGCTAATTCGGCCATATATATCTGGCATTGATTAGCTTGTCGAAGCTTTTGCACCAGGATGGGATAAAGAATAAAAGTTATTAAGTATTAGTCCTCGCATACTTTTGGGGACGAGAGGTCGTGGCATTACCTTGGTCATCTCACAGTAAATTAGAATACCGTTAATCGGCGACGTACCTGATTTAGTTTGAAACTAGAGTTGTTTTCTGAAAGGTGTCGTAATTGGTAATCCTCTTTCTGGTTGACCCTTACTGTCTCGAAATTTACTGTGGAGCGCTGTATCACATTCATTTCTGGTCGAGATAATGCATCTACCGCCTGGACTCCTGACCTTTGGCATGTCGGATACCACTTGTAATCTGTGTCGGACTTCTCGTGGCGAGTATTTATCGGCTCTCGGTTTTAGTGCATTGGTCAGAGGTCTGCGATTTGTAAAAAAATGAATGGTCGGCCTTCTAACATGTGTCGAAAATGCCTAATGTATAGGTAGATTGCAAGAAGTTCCCGCCCGAAGGTAGAATACCTTGTCTCTGCTGGAGCGAGTCATTTTCAAAAGAAAACAAATGAAGGACAAGTAAGTGTAGTGTGCTATCATTGCGAACAACGGAGAGAGAGCGTTGTATGATGTCGATAAAATAGGTTTTTATATCATTCTAAGCATTGAAGTTGATTTACCAGGTTATGGGATGCAAGTCTAGGACAAATTATTTTTGTACTCATTGTCCTATAATCCACTTATTCTCCGATTTGCATTTATCTTTTAATCGGTTGACATTCAATGTTTCTTCTCTCTGTGTATGTGTAAATGCCTTGAGTATGTATGTGATCTTTGATGGAAATGTCTACTGTACATATATATAACACCAGGTTTTCACTGTAAACTGTCTTTTTAATAGTACTAGAAGTGGGAATTTGTGCTTACTGTCTGATAATCCCAATGGATTATTATATTAAAACTGTAAGCATTTAATTTCTAGACTTAATTGTATTTTGAGGATTTCAGAGTACTGGTGATCAAACTGTACAGACTATTGTTAATTCATTGTCTATATACTATATAATTTATTTTAAACTTTACTCGAGTGGACAATATGTGGTGTTCTTATGAACTCACGATTTCCTTGTACTTGTTGAATGCTTGATTTCGAATTCTAAATACAGTATATTCTTTCGTGCTTATCTAGCACTTCTTGATTAAATTGCGTTATTTCTGAGATTTCTAGTTTGTACTATAATTCAAATACTCCTAATTATCATATCAGCGTCGCGATGGAACAGTCAGATATTCATTCTACTTCTGAAACTCTTGAGGATTATTTGGAAAGTTTTGAAATCTGGAGCACGACTAAGCAAGATGTTAAGGGTGATAAAGTTGTGGTACATTTCCTTACATTCATCGGGAAAGAAGCTTACAGTTTAGCAAAGTCTTTTGCGCATCCAGAAAAGCCTATCTCACTTCTTTATGCAACTCTTAAGGGACTATTATTAAATCATGTAAAGTGCACCAGTTTTGAATGTCGTGAGAGGGCGAAATTTCAAAAGATTATTCGTCAGAATAGTCAGAAGGTTTAGATCTCAAAAATTCGGCTGTTCCTGATGATCATGTGTCTTCATCCACCGTTATTGTGGATGCAGACAGTATCGAGTCCATTATTTCATTCAAGAACTTGAAATCTTTAGATCCTAACGTTGTGGTACGACCCAGTGAAGTCTCAGTATTATTATGGATTACTGGACACAGACTGGCCATACGAGGATGCTGTGGATCGCTAATATGAGATGATAATTCTTCATTCATGCCTTCTCAATTATTAGTTGGCGAAACAGGACTACCAATACTGGGTTTAAAAAAATTGAAAAAGGCCTAAAGTAAAGTTGACTTTACTAGTTTCTAGAAATAAATCTGATGCTTTACTTAAATATTTGATAGCTGCGTGTGCTAAGTGCAGTAGAGGTATGAAAATTCAGCCTACGAAAGTACAGGGTGATCTAGTATTTCTTAAAAGACGAATAATTCCTTATGGTCTTCAAGAAGCAGCACATAAGGAATTGAACGATTTGTGTCCGAAAAGTATAATTGAGCCGATTTAGTCCAGCTTAAGGTACTCCTATTGTTACGTTATTTAACTGGTATGGCAAAACCCCTAGAATATGTGGTCACTATAGATTAACACTGAATTTTCGTTTGTTGAGGCAAATATGCACGACGGTAGAGGCTGAAGATATTCTAAATCGACTTCGTGGTTCTAAAGTGTTCTCTTCGTTTAATTGAGAATATTACAGTGAATCCAAATAAGTGTTCATTTGTGTATCTAGTTTCGAATTTCTTGGATACCTGGTTGATGGTAATATTTTTAGACCAGATATGTAACGACTAGCTCCACCGATAAATGCACCGTCTCCAAGGAATCTTACAGAACTACGTTCACTAGTGGGTGCTCTTGGTTCCTATTGTTTCTTGTTGTGACAATTGTTTATTTAATATTTCGATATCCAATTAATTTAAATGGGGTGAGGAACAAGAGTCATGCTGTTCTTCGAACTTACTCCCCTAGTGTACATTCTGTAGTTATTACTGATGCATCACCTTTGAACATTGGTGCAGTTATGAAGTAGGAAGGTAAGCCAGTTATCTGTGTTTCACGCAAACTTGCTGTTACTAAACAAAGTAATTCACAAACTCAGCGAGAAGCATTGTCTGTGTTTTGTGCTGTTAAATGACTTCATAAATATCTATTCGGAAGGAAATTGACTATTGTTACTACTACTGTTACCGTTGTTGCTACCTTGT